CGTAGTATTAAGGCAGCCATGGCTTTGGCTGCAGTGAACCAATCCTATTCCCTCTGACAAGACTCAGGGCCTTCAACCACCAACCAGCACTTCCTGCCCCATGAAATGTAATGAAATCACTAGGCTTAGGCATAGCCCTGCCATGCTGAGTCCTTCACTTCTGCGCCCCTGGATGTAAGTTTCCATCCCCTCTGGACATCCGCTGTGCCAGGCCTTGAAAGCCTTCTGGCTTGAAGAATTCCAATAAACTAATTGGCAGGCCGGTTGCGGCTCCTTTCATGCCCACTCGACTGTAGCTGAGACCGTGGTGCGTTAGTGGAGGCCACGGGCAGCTCCCAGTCTCTGCAATATGCTTCCGTTCCTTTGAAACATGGCTCGGCGATGCCTGGTTATTACAGGGGGGCCTACCAGACATTCAGAGTATGTCTACACTGCATCTGGGAGGCGGAGCAAGCCTTCCAGCTGGCGTCTGCAGCCTTGGGGGGATGTCACGCAAGTGCACTAAAAATAGCCACGCAGACGTTGGTTTCCCGCTGTGGCTTGGGCTGTGATGCCTACGCGGCTGTTTTGAGCGCACTGGTGGAAGGCCTGCCAGCGCATGTCTGGGGTATCAACAGGGAGGTTCGTTCCTCAATGCAATGTAGACATCTCCCCAGTACTGTGGCAGAGGCCTCCGAACTGACACACTCAGTAAGGGATTGGAGGCCAGGTGAGAGGGGACACAGAGGGTCAATCCCCAGCCTGAATCACGCACCCTGGGGAAAAGACCCAGGGGCAGCACTAGCATGGAATTAACCAAGCACCTGTGGAAGGGGAACCATTCCCTACTAGGAATCCAACGCATCTAGCGGTTAGAGCAGGGCTTGCGAGATCTGCAGCCTTGCTGCATCAGACTTGCTGTTTTGAGCCTCTGTTTCCCCACTTCTTAGCTGGAGATACTAATACACCCCCACACACACCCCGCTTTTGTAAAACACGGAGAGATTCTCAACCGGCCCGAACTATGTGAGCATTCGACAATAATGGTGCAATAGTCAAATAAACCCTTGGTGGGGCTTGAACAGATGAGCGCCAGCTCAATAGGAAGAGGGTGATGCTAAATGGCCCTATTTGTGTTCTTCATCTCATTACTCTTCCTGGCCTGAGAAGTCCAAAGTGCCCTGCCCGGCCATCTTCCAACGCAGTACAGCCTCCAATCCTGCTGTGGGTCGGGCATTGTCCCAGAATCGGCTGTGACAGAGGAGGGAAAGGCTGAATCCTCATTCATACAGCTAGACGCTAAACTACTCAGTAAAATATTTATTTCTCAGTTATTTCATGAGTTGTTTTTACAAAAATTACTCCCCTCCCCAAAAAGAACCCCCCCTAAAAACCAAACCAACCCCCCAAACCCTACACAGACATGCAAAAAAACAAAACAAAACCCAAACAACCCCCCCCCCCACCCAGATCCTGTTACAAGTAATTGAAATGTACAAATTAAAAGGAAGAGAGCAAGCTTAGATTAGGACAATCCCTAGTTCCTGATATCACTCCACTGGGGCAATTTGTATCTTGTCTCGGTAATGCTTTAATGTCAGCTGACAAATTTGGAGGAGGCTGCCAAGATAGCTGTAAAATTAAGAGCAAATGTTTTCTAATCGAGATTGTGCAAAGAAATATTTATTCCTTTTTTTTAACCTTTAGAGAAACAGCATCTGCAAACTATTAAACCAGTTTATTTTCATGAATGCTCTCAAAAAGGGAGTGACATTTATATCTCTGCGGTTTCGTCTTATACAACAGGAAAGAGCCCCACGTTTTCCATGGGAATAAAAGCTCCAAGATTTTCCCTCTTCCCACCCCCCAAGCAAAGTTTCTCATGGTGGGCGTTCTATCTTCAGTGAACCCATGGCTGCATGTCTTGGCTTTCAAAGGCTACCTCCATCCCGCGCTGCTCGGAGATCTTTATTTTGCACCGAACAAACACCGGGGCTGGAAATGTGGAATTCGCTGTTTGGCGGCTTTTCTCGCTGGGGGAAATAGAACATTTCTGCCCTGCGTGGTTATCCCGGCCCTTGGTGCTGTGCTAGTGCCCCTGGTGTTAAAGTGAAATCGGTGCAGCCAGAGCTCCGCTCAAGGCCATGGGCTCCGTTTCCTGCCTCGGGCCCTTCTGCCCGCGCTCGCGCTCCTTCCCGGGGAAAGGTTTTCTGCCCTCTTGGCTCATGCTAATGAGCCTTAACCCTGCTTTGATGCTACGTGCCACCAGTTTTGCATGAAGTGTCACGACCGTTCTCTGTGTGCTTGAAATGATCTCTCGCCGAGCGTTTGAAACTGCGCGCTCGTTAGATGACCTTCAAGATGCTGCGTTAAACAGGATGCTGGCAGGTGCTTGCTGGCCAAGAGGCTTCCCTTAAGATAAGGTCCCCTACGTCACAGCAATGTGTGTGTGTGTGTGGGGGGGTAATCGGTGGGGTACCTGATCTGACAAGTATATTTGGTCTCATGGAGACAGATTTTTTTCCTAGGAGATCAGGACCAGATTGTCTATCAGCGGGGGCCATACTTTCAAAGCGTTCAGGGCCCAAAATGCTGGCCAGTTTGGAAAATCTGGAATTGCTTTTTAAAAGAGGGTGGTTCAGGGGTTGGGGTGCCAGCCTGAAGACTTAGGGGACCAAGATTCACTTCACTGCTGTGCTGCAGACTTCCTGCGTGACCGGCTTGTCTACGCACAAAAAAGCTCCTGCTTTAACTACACTGGTACCCCCGAAGCCATCCCCCTCCCGTATCTCTGCTCCCATCACTTCAATGGAGAGGATAACACTTCCCTAGCTCCCAGGGGTGTCGGAAGGGTAAATGGAGTTGAGACGGTGAGGGGCTCAGGTACCATAGCACAAGAATTGAGTGTTGGGATTTAAGTACAGAATCACCAGCGTGGGGGTGGGGGCTGGAGTGGCCAGGGCAACAGCTTCAGAGCTGTCCCCTAGTGCTGTGATTCACATCCATAGCAAGCAGGGCTGTGAACATCTCGGGCCCAGGCACTGTTCTAAGGGGGTGGGTGCTATTGCCTGACCATGATCTCGGGATTGGCTGTGCTGGTTTCTTTAAGAAGTTTGCACTCCCTAGTCCGGTTAAGCTAAACACGCACAAGGTGTCACCACCTTGATTTTGGAAACATCTTTCATCTGTCAGGAAGCAGCTGGGAAGGTACATCGGGCAGGATCCTCCACACTGGACTCCCCAGGCCAGGTGTGGCCCTGCTGGTGCTGCCCAGAGGCCTGGGTCTTCCCGGACCTTGATAGCCGCAGCGAAGGGTCCCCCAGTGGCTAGAGCATTGCTTCGCTCTACTGGGTGGAAAGTAGGATCTGCTCCTATCATGGCTACAGCCGATACAAACCCTGCTGCTGCCTAGCTCGGGGGGACTTGCCCTTAGCTCAGGCTCTAGAGACTTGTGTCTTTTGAAGCAGATGGTCCCGTGCACGAGTCCTGCTGCCAGCTACCATATCAGGCTGCAGCCAAAGACCCATTCCAGAAAAGGCTGCTCCCAAGGGAAGCAGTCAGTGGGGGAGGAAGTAGGTTATCTTTATGGACGACCTAGGCCATCCCCTCAGAAACTCCACAGGTGCCTTTGTCCTGGAGCCTGGTCAGCATCTGTGACCACTGCGAGGGAAGGTGACAAAGGCCTTAAAGAGAGGGGGACTGAATGGGCTGGGGGATTGGGACCAGGAGAGGATCCCTTTTACTTCTAAGGCACAGTTTCAGCCCAGTTTGCAGTGGATACTTTGTCCACACCATAAAACCAGCACCACGCCTGCCCCTATTCGCTCCTATTGTTCACAGGCTCTGCAGAGAGCCAGGGTTGAATGGAGCCTGGAAACTGAGCTCCCTTCTCCTCCTTGGCTGGGAGCCCCAGGAGAGCAGGGTTGAGGCTCAGTGGTGTAGCAGGACCAAGGGAAACCTGTACTGCCCATGCTATACCTGTACTTGTGCTTACATTAAGGGGAGCTGTCTGTCCAGCCCCCTACTCTAGTCCCATTCATTAAAGCCCCACCATAAAAAGCTCAGAGAAGGCCCTGGCTGAACAAGACCCCTGAGGCCTCCAGCTGAGGTTCTGCTTGTTCACATCTTGCATTGTAACTGAAAGCCCTGCTTTTGATTTTCAGCTGTTCAGCAGGGAAGAGATTGCTAAGAGGTGGGGTGATGGGGAAAGCCAGCCACTTGCTGCGGAAGGCATCTAATTTACAAGCCCAGGCCATCAACCACATCCAGGGGACGCAGTTCCATAAGAGAGGCAGTGTTTCCGAAGGAGACAGCCTGCCTGGCCATTTGCATAGAGCTTGGACAACGATACACTCAGCTAAAGCCCACAGACTTTCTTTTCCCCCAGGACAGTTCAATGACCCAAGCCCCTTCAGACTTGCTTGTGAATTCATTGACTTAACCACAAAGTGCAGAGCAAATATTAACTTTTGGACAGCTGCAAAGTCCCATCAGCTAGCTGGAGTGAGTTCTCCTGGGCACTCAAACCATCATCTTCGCCTTTAACTAATGGTTAAAAAAAAAAAAGTTGGTAGCATATATCTTACATTGGCATGGGCAGCTGGCTACTTCTAAATGTACAAAGCACAATGCAGGGTTAGGGTAATGAATATATACAGCAGGGGTGGGCAGTCCCGCTTGCAAAAGTCTTTCTCTCTCAAGCATTGCAGTCTGGTGACATAAAAATATATGAGCAAATTTGTCAGCCTTGGAAATGCTGTCGTATAATGTGAGTCGGCTACAAACGCAACGGCTGACCAGTCAAGTTTGAGTGACAACCAAAGAAAAAGGGATGATATAATTGACATAATACAATGTAGTGATCCTCCCAACGAAGACCAGGGTCCCCAGCCTAGGAGGATACTCAGTTGCTCTTTGGCTGTCCAGCTGAGATATTCAAATTGGTCAAATCCTGTAGTCCAAGATTCTTCCCTGTTCGGAATCATATTCATGTTAACTTGGCAAGTCTGTTTATCCTTGACGTGTGTGTGTGTGTGTGTATATATATATATATATATATATATACGTATATTTTATTATAGAGTGTGTGGGGAAAGCAACTTTCTTACCAAGTTCACTCCGTCTGTGGCTACAATTACACACCACTTTCCAAAGGGGATTGTGACTTGCTCTTCTGTCAAAAGGGACCAGGAGAAGGGGATGCTGGTGATGCACTCGGCATTGGTTGAGAGTCACTAGGGTTTGGGTTTAGACTGGGACAGGAGCGGCAATCTGGCCTCTTGTGATGGGGAAGATGCTCTCCCGCCGAGGGCAGGCACATTGGTATTTTGTCCCGGTTCTGGGGATGGCAGTCAGTTCACAGTTGGCACCTGGTTCTGATGCATGCTGAACTCTTTGGCTTTGAGGCGTAAGCTGGCGATACTGTTTGCCATGTTCACCCCCTGGGCAGGCGTTGCGGTGCCGCTTGAGCTGTAGGATGGCACGGTGCTGCAGGGGAGAGGAGCAAGGGAAAGGAAAATAGTTTGAGACTCCGGCACAGCCCAGGGCAAGCCTTAGACGCTGACGCTGCAATGCTTTAGTGGAAGAGCACCTCTCTATTTGATTCATTTGGTTTTAAGTTGTCAGGCAGTTGGCTCCTTTCACCAGCTTCTCGGAAACAATCGGCTGAGGCCAATAGTAAGGGTCTGGATGGTTTTACGCTGCTCAGTGAAGGCAGGCAGTTTGTGCAAATCACTTTTAAATGAGATTAAAGTCCCTGCCTCTAGCTTTTAAACTGAATACGTTTGAGATGAGTCCAGGGCAAAACCCTGGATCTAGACCCCTTCCCTACCCACTCTGAACATTATATGGGAATTTCGCTCCAGTCTGTACACTTGATCTCTAGGATTGGCAATGGATTGAGTCAAAAACCCAGAGAGGAACATGTCCTGAAGTCCAGATCTGGATCCGAGCTTTGTAGCACAGGAAAAACCCACTATCTGAGCATTCAATGACAAGAGGAGAATGATGTCTGTCACTCAAGGGCTGAAGAATGAAACAGATGTTAGATACAGAAGCAAATCAGGTGGGGATTATTCTGGAGCAAACATCTGTCTCCATACCAATATTCTGCCCTTGTGGCTCTTAGAAACTGAAATTCTAGGTCCTTTTTGCAAAGCTCTTCCTCCAAGGCTCTCAAAGCACTTAGGGAAAGTTATTCATTACTGCAAGTATCCCAAGCTGACTTTATTCAGATCACCCTTGGGTCTAGGAGAGAACCCAGGACTGGGATGGCTGATGTTCCCCCCACCCATTACAATTTCTCAGTTCCACAGTCTTTACAGAAGAGTCAAACTTTCAAGGATGGACACTCCCAGTGCAGTTTTTATGACTCTCTCTGGTTACAGGGTTCCACAAATTGGTGTGAATTTGCAATCCCTTTCTTCCCTGGAATGGCTTTTCCAAAGGAAATTCTATTTAAAAGTGAAAAGAAGCTTTTTCCTAGCTGAAGCAAAGCCTGTGCAGTGTATCTGGAGGAGAAGAGCCCCTTGACCTGAAACCAAGGTGGTAGGAGAGTCTATCTTGTACCCACCCCTTGCTTGTAATTATTTATTCATTAGAATTTCTTCCCTCCTCCCCTCTTCCTCTCCCTCTCCAGCTCTTTATTTTGATGTCTCTCCCAAGCAGAACATGAGTTTACATTTCCAAGTGGGTTTTGGATTAGATAAAACAGGCCAAATTTATCCCTGGTGCAATTGCTGGAGTTACCCCAGAAAGGAATTTGACCCCGTTGAGTTTGTCTGTCCATAGTTTAGAGGATTCCTAAACCACTGAAAAAACCCTCTCTTGTAAAGCTTTCTGGGCTTTGCTTTTACCCTCGGGAGGGGGGGGGGGGGGGTGTAATTAGTGCTCAGGCTGCTAAAAAACTCTGTTGGTTCTCGTGGCCCATGGGGAGCGCCATGTGCCTCCGACACTTAGAATATTAATTATCCTCACTCAAGTTTCACTCTTATAAATATTTAAACTCAACATTAAAAGACAAGGTGGGTGAGGTAATCTCTGTTATTGGATCAACTTCTGTTAGTGAGAGAGACAAGCTTTCAAGCCACACACAGCTCTTCTTCAGGTCTGGGAAAGGCAGCTAAATACAAGGTGGGACAGATAGTTTAGCATAAGTAGTTAGCGCGTGTTCCAAGGGACCATCAAGGGGAAGTCACCCCTGTAGTCACAGGACAAAAAGGGGGGTTAGTGGGTTACAGATTGTTGTAATAAGCCATAAATCCAGTGTCTTTATTAAGACCATGATTTTTAGCCTCTTGCAAAATTATGAATTTCAGCTCCCAGGCTCGTCTTTTGAAAGTGGTGTTGTCCAGTGTCCTTTGAGGAGGAGTCTGATCCATGGGTCCTGCACATGCCTATCACAACATGTGGTGTCGTGTACCTCATCCAGGGCACTAAATGACCTAACAACAACTATGTGAGTGAAACCCATAGGCACCACCTCCGTGGGCGCTCCAGGGCTGGAGCGCACACAGGGAAAAAATGCAGCAGTAGCCCCCCCTCCCTCCTGCAGCACCTCCTGCCCACTGGTGGGCCCCGCCGATCAGCGCCTCCCCCTCCCTCCCCATGCTGCCCGTCTGCGGCGATCAGCTGTTTTGCGGCGTGCAGGAGGCTCTTTGGGGGAGGGGGAGGAGCATGGATGTGGCGTGCTTGGGAGAGGGGTGGAATGGGGCGGGGGTGGGAAGAGGCGGGGTGGGGTTGGGGACTTGGGGGAAAGGGGAGTGGGGGTGGGGCCTGGGATAGAGCTGGGGGTCGAGCACCTTCTGGCACATTGGAAAGTTGGCACCTGTGGTGAAACTAGACAACCGCTAACCCCCCCCTTTTTTGTCCTATGACTACAGTGGTGTTAATGGGCCACTTCACCTTGAATGGTCCCTTAGTCTAGCATAAGGAGTTAGCACATAGTCTATCTGTTCAACCTTGTATTTAGCTGTGGCACTGGGAGTACCTTTCCCAGACCTCAGGAAGAGCTCTGTGTAAGCTTGAAAGCTTGTCTCTCTCACCAACAGAAGTTGGTCCGGTAACAGATATTCCCTCACCCACCTTGGCTCCTAATAACCTGAGACAGACACAGCTCCCACAACATTGCATTCAACTCAACACATCATTGCCTCCATCCCACATGCTGGCTGTGTTTGTCCTAGGGCAGGCCAACATCTTGCCCAATGGGCCTGCAGTTTGTTCAATTCTAACTTCTCCTTCCTACTTGGGGCCTTAGGGCCCATCCCAACTCCTGTTTAAGCCAATGGAAAGACTCCCTGTGACTTCACTTTGGCCTTTGTGCCTTCTCCATTTCCTGTTTGTTTTAATTCTCTCCCTTGACAGGGGAGCAGTTTTCTAATCAGCCTCTCAGCCACCCGCCCTTCACAGTCTTTTCGGCCCACTAGGGGCAGGCCTGGTAGGGTGACCTTGGCTGGCTCTCCAGCACCTCCTGAAAGGCAGCAATGATCACTCAGTTTGGGAATTGATGGGAAAGATAATAGTGAGGCTGCCTGGACTTACCTGTATGGGGATGTGGTGGTCCAGGAGAGATACTCTGGGCTCAAGGCAGTCGGCCTGGGGGCCATGGGCTGTTCAATGGCAGCATCTTGGCTATAGGATTTGAGGAGTGATGCGGACCTGTTGGCTAGCATCGCCCGCTCGTTGCGGCGGAACTTGGCCCTTCGGTTCTGGAACCACACCTAGCGGGAGGAGAGGCAGCACTGGTCACTTGAGCCGCACTTAACCCAGGGCACAGGCAAGGCAGGTGGGAGGGAGCGGGGGAGCTGCCCCACTCTCCCCCAACGCAGAGTGCAGCGGGCTGATTGCACTGAGCAGGGGGCCTACTTAATTCTGGCAGATCTCAGGCTGGCAGCCTGGCGCTGACCCCTCTGCTCTGCCTGCCATGGCACAGTGGGCAAGGATGAGCTGTGATGGTCTGGAGGGTGCACTGCCCTGGTCATTCTGAACTCTAGGGAGGCATGAGTTCTAGCTGGCCACGGGAGCAGGGAAGCCAGCATCCTTGCCTAGAGCCAGGAGGCAGAGAGCTAGTTTCTCCCCACCCCTTTGCTCACCTGGACTCTGGCCTCACTGAGGTTCACCCTCCGCGCTAGCTCCTCTCGCACAAAAGCATCGGGGTAATGCGTCCTCTCGAAGACTCTCTCCAGAGCCTGGAGCTGGCTGCTGTTGAATGTGGTGCGGTTCCTCCTCTGCTTCTTCTTCCGCTTGGCAGCCCCACGGCTCGGACTCAGACTCTCACCTAGGGGGAGCACAAAGGAGACAATCCCAGGAGGGCTGGGTACAAGTGACAGGTCCATGGAACCAGCCCACCTCTCCCTGGCCAGTTAGACACACACACTGGTGAGGGGGGTGAGGTAGACAGGGTGCAGCAGGGGCAGTGCCCTATGTCTCTTTTCAAGGGGTGAACAAAGCCTGTGACTGACCTTCTTAGAGAGGATTTCATTGCTGGGCCTGGGGGATGACATTGCTAAGTGCAGATGTCTGTAATTCAGCAGAGGAACATAACCTGTCCTTCATTGCAAGCCCTAGAGCCAAGCATGGCAGAATTCAACTCATTTATAATTTTGATGGATAACATCAGTGTTTATTTGAAAGCATTTTCTCCTGATGTTGCCAGTTTAAATGTTCACAGTGATACGAAATTATGGGGGAGAGGTCCGATGACGGGGAGAGTAATTGTTTGACAACAGACGTTGCGAGTCAAAAAACTAAAGCTTTATAACTATTAAAATTCAAATTGTCAACATCCCCTGTCAAAATATACAAAGTAAATACCCTGAAATCAAACTGGAATCAGTTCTCAAGCAGTATTTTTCTTACTTTGTCTGCAAATTTTGATGATCATTGATGGAAATATTTTTTCTTCAGTCTGTGAGTGTGTGGTGAAATCAATGTTTGCCGACATTTACCGATAAGAATCTAACCTGCTAAGCCTACCTCGAGGTGAAGTAGCATGGGCCACTGGACTGTTCATGGGAAGGAGAAGCAGTTCTTCGGTTCCAGTCCGAGCTCTGCCACTGTCTGTGTCTCATCCCCTCTCTGTGCCTCAGTTTCTCTCAGGGGTGAAACGGGTAATACTTACCTCGTGGGGGATGAATAGGGAAAGGGTTTAACTAGTTAACGAATGCCAAGTGCTATGTAAGTACGAAGCTTAACATTCCCAAAAGTGGCCACCGATTTCAGATGCTTAAAGTTTTGGAAGCCCCACATCAGATGCTTGGGGCCTGATTTTCAGCGGTGACAAGTGCCAGCAAGTCCTGCTGAAGTCAATGCGAGCTGTGGGATCTCGGCACAGTAGCAAATCAGGCCCCAGTATGTCTCAAGTTGGGCACCCAAAAATAGAAGCACCCAAAATCCGTGGCCACTTCTGCAAATGTGGGTCTTAGTCTCTTAACACCAGCCATCAGGGGTGCAGGAGCTAGTCGTACTGGGGATGCAGCCGCACTCCCTGGCTTGAAGTAATAATAGCAATGATATATTAGACCGTTTTGTCCAATGGCTTTCAGCACTCTCCCTATAAAAATGGTTCCAGCTCCCCTGCCAGCAGTTCCTCAAATAGCAGCAGCTACATCTGTCTGCGACGTGGGAAGGAACAGGAGGGTAATTAGAAGGACATGATTTTTAAGGTGAACGATCTCATGGCCAGCCAGTGCTAGAAACAAATGTTACCAAGCCTCTGAAATTTCTACTCACACCCAGCATTTGTTTCCATCTTTGTGGCTCATGAAATTTTGAACCTTAAGCCTGCCACTGGTCCGTCTGTTTGCCTTTTTTGGCCCAGATCCAGACCTGAGTATGGCGCATCTTGGGCCTTCATCCATGTAACTTTCTTTCATTCTTTGTCGCCAGCATCACATGAGATGGGGCAGGCTGATGGAGACTGGTTCTGGAGGACACGGTCAGTTGCCTGCAGAGGCCCAGTGGGGAAAGTATGTTGTTGTTTTTAATTCTTTAGCAGAGTATTGTTCCGTTATTCTTTCCATTAGCAGAGCATCTGGGTTCAATTTGTGCCAATGGCGGGAAAGTATTTTTGAAAGGTTTGAAATGTTAATAGTTTTATGACATCCCATGGATTTACAGCAGAGTTGCATTGGATTTCTCTGCTTTATGTCAAAGTTAGAGCCTATGATGTGAGAAATTGTTGCCTCTCGCTAAAAGGCTTCTAATGCAGCTTTGCAAAATTGTCATGAGATGGTACCACCCCGGTCACCAAATCTCCTGGAAGGAATATAAACCCTCATGCCACCCTCTAACTACTGAGGGCTAGATGGAAACTTGTGTGCCTTACTCCATTGCTACTGCAAGGTTTCTTGCACCTTTCTCTGAGACATCGGGTGCTGGCCATTGTCAGTAACAGGATACTGGAGTATATGCACCATGAATCTGATACAATGTGGCAACATAATCCAATTTGATTTGATTCCTACTTTTACCATGCTGATGACAAACTAAAGATAATTTGGATGACCATCAACCCCCTCCCCCTCAAAAAAACGCCTAATCTCAGGTGAGTGAGGTGGTAGAAATGTGCATGGCTGTTGTTATAACCCTGTGTGGTGCTCCAGCATCTCAAAGCACATTACAAAGGTAGGCATTACCCCTGTGTTACAAAGGGGCCAAGTGAAGCACACAAAGGTGAAGTGAGTTGACCAAGGTCACACGGTGAGTCCTTAACAAAGTTGGGACTAGAACCTGAGGGTCTGCCTACACTGCAGAAAAAGACATGTGGCAGTGAATCTGAACCTGGGTCAACTGGCTCAATGTGTAAGACTCTGAGACCCTCCCTGCCTTGCCAGGTTTCAGAGTCCAGTCTCCAATCCAAGCCCAAACATCTACGCTGCTATTTTTAGCCCCACAAGCCCAAGCCAGTTGACCCGGGCTCTGAGACTCGCTGCTGTGGGTTGGTTGGTTTGGGGGGTTTCTTCTGCTGTGTAGACGTGTCCTAAGACTCCTGAGCCCTTGTCCTAATTACTGGTTTGTGCTGTCTGCTTTATCAGTTAAGGAAACTGAGAGTAGGCATCTGTGCTGCTAATTTCTGGGTGGACCCTTTCTTTGCTGTCCTTTGTATTTGAGAGTCTCTCTCCGTAGCCTGGAGCACTGAGGATCACTGATATGGTCGGATAGAGACTTTGGGGACATTCCCATTTTAATAATGACTAGACCAAGCCTAGCCTACTTCAGCCCTGCTCTGCCTGTGGCTATCAAGCCGGGGTGGATGTAGCCTCCCCATTCAATGAGCACCTGCTCCCAGGGGGCACCGACCACCCGCAGCAGCACCTCCGTCCCAGCATCGCAACCCTAATCCTGGCCGAGCACGGAGGGGAGGCCCCAGGGGCATGGAGAGTGACTCACTCAGCGGTTGTGACTCCTTTCGCACGGGGCCGGGCTCAGCTGCCCCTCTCCAGGCATTGTGACTTGGTGCACAGGGCCACAGCGCTGTCACTCAGGTTTGGCCCGGCTGCCTCTGGAGGGGCGGCCAGGCCCAAACCTGAGACAGGGGCCCCTGTGCAAGTGCACCCATTGCACGCGGGTTAATCTGGGCCCGATTTCTGTGGGTGCAGTTGCAGCCATGGACCTCCACTGAAGCCGCCACTGCTATCAGGTCCAGGGTTCCCAGTTCTGGTTGGCCGTATTCCTGGAGGTTTCATTGCATGACCTAATCTTTAATTAAAGATTAATCTTTTAATCCCTGGGGACTCCAGGACTATCCTGGAGGGTTGGCAATCCTAATTTAGGTCATAATTCCAGAGGCACCTCTCCCTGGCTCAAGTCAGGAATCCTGACAACCATGCGGTGGTTACCCTGGGGAAGTGGGGAGGGATAGCTCAGTGGTTTGAGCATTGGCCTACTAACCCCAGGGTTGTGAGCTCAATCCTTGAGGGGGGCCATTTAGGGATCTGGGGCAAAAATAATTGGGGATTGGTCCTGCTTTGAGCAGGGGGTTGGACTAGATGACCTCCTGAGGTCCCTTCCAACCCTGATATTCTATGATTCTAAGTGGCAATTGAAATCGCCAAGAATGAGGGGTTAGGTTTGTGGCTGGTGCTGACAATGGCCTGGTGTAAGATGAGGCTTTGGTGCTTTCTTTCCAATGCACATTGAGGCTTGAGACCCCTGGACGCTGTCCATCATTAGGAACCACTACACATTACAGGCAGTGAGAACGCTCTGCACCTTGTAGGAATGGCCTCTCACAATCCACAGCCCAGGCTCAAAACCCAGCATGCACCGTACTCCCCGGCCTATTATTGGTGCAGCTCCACCACACGCGTGACTAAACAGGTCTTGTGTTGTGTCAGGGTAGACTCATCCCTCTGCCTCAGCCAAAACAAGTAGGTGTCCAGGGGATAGTGGAAGGGAGCTGTCCATTGAGACCACCCTCCCCATGACTGGATGGTGAGATGGGAACTCCCTTGATGGGCTGTAGAAAGAAAGGTGACCTCAGCTACCATGGGCCCGAGGTGTAGTTGTCCGAATAGAGGGGGAGAGTTCCTTATCCACTGCCACTTTCTGATCATTTAAGTCACACATCTTTGCATTCCAAGTAAGTTTCATCCTTTGTTTGCCCCTGTAAACCCCTCTGAGGACAGAGGGACCCTGGGGCTGGTAGAAGCTGAGCACGGCTGTGTTTGGGACGCTCCAGGATGGGGGTGGGGGAGAATGTTATGAAAGGTGACACGTGTTTGGTTCAATCTGAAATAAACACAAGTTGAGTCCAAAAGCCGAGAGAGAAAGACACTCTTCGCCCCGCCCAGGAGACCACAGTCTAGGCTCCACTGAGCTTTGCATCCCAAATAAAATTCCAAGAATTCCCTCCAGCCCTTGGTTCTGTCGAGAGCCTCAAATTCACTGCCAATCTCTATTTTACAGTTGCCCCTTTTAGTTTAACTCCTTTTTTGGTTTTGTTTTCATACAGCAAGCTAATGAGCCTCAGGATTAAAAAAAATATGGCCGATTACTGCCATCCCAGCTTCCTCCCAGAACCTGGGATTGACTTGGGCGAGCATGCAGGAACCATCCCTGATGGAAAAGCCCTACAGAATTTAATAGAGAGCAGTAAGCTCCCTATGGGATTTATCAACCACCCGATAGGGTTTAATGGACAAATTATAGAAAGAGGATCTCATTCTCTATTAAATGGTATAGGGTTTTATGGTGATTTCTATAGAACCCAGCTGGGTTGATCCTTATTCAAATCTGCCTATAGGGCTTTCCCATGAGCGATAGCTTCCCGGGTGC